CATTTTATTATACATTGCAACCTTGATGGATACTCACTTATTCTAGGTGTTTTTTTAATGAATTCTTGAGATTTTTTTTTACTTTTTAAATTTATTTAGTTGTTTTTTAATTTTACGTGATGCTGAGAATTGAACCCAGTGTCTCACACATGCCAGGCAAGTGTGCTACCGCTGAGCCACAGCCCCAGCCCAGATTCTTAAGATTTTTCTATGTAGACAATCATGTTGTGTACAAGTAGGGGCTTATAATTTAATTTATTTTTAATCTGTGTGCCTTTTCTTTTCTTACCTCACTGGACTAACTAGAACTTCTAACTGTATTTTGATGAGAATAGTGAGACCCAGTCTCAAAATAAAAAATAAAAAAGGGCCAAGGATTTGGCTCAGTAGTTAAGCATCCCTGGGTTCAATCCATGGTACAAAAAAAAAAAAAAAAATTCCCTGGGTAATGATGTTATAACTAATAATCTAATATCTCTGTATTACCACACAAAACAGATACTTTTAGGACTTTTCTGTCAGATTAGAAGCAGGTCATTGACACTAATTTTCTCAGTTTCACATGTTGGGGAAAGAAGTCAGTGGTTGTGCTAGATATCCTACTTCAAAAAGGAAATTGAGGGCGGGGGCTCTAGCTCAGTGGCAGAGCACTGATTTGATTCTCAGCACCACATAAAAAATAAATTAATAAACAAAGATATTGTGTGTCCCTCTACAACTAAAAAACTATTTTAAAAAAAGGAAATTGAGAGACTTATTTCAACTAATTAACAACTTACATCAACCAATCTGTGGGGAGCTGAGAGCTGGAGGTGGTGCCCTGTGATGGCAGTCTCAAATAAAGCTGCAAAGAAAAGGAAGATAAACCTTCATCTTGGGCTCCAGCAAGAACCTGCCTGCCAAGAGTTGGTGCAGTGGCACATGCCTACCATCCCAGCTACTTGGGAGGCTGAGACAGAGGAATTGCAAGTTCAAGGCCAGCCCCAGCTCACTTGGTGAGACCCTGTCCCAAAATAAAATAAAAAAGGATGTGTGTGATGGGGTGAGGATGTGTCTTAGTGGTAGAGTGCTCCTGGATTTAATTCCCAGAACTGCAAAAAACAAAAACAAAAAACAAACTCTGCTTACCTCTGTGACATGACAGTTTAGAATAACTGTTAAGCTGTTTTGTTAAACAGACCTGCAAAACCATCACAAACAGAATTTTAAAAATGCATATTTAACAAAAATTGTCTATGACCCAAGAACTTCAAATAGTTTTGATTTTCAAAGGAAAGAGCCCAGGACACTATCTTTCATAAAGCTTCTTAATTCCCTTTTTTACCACCAGCAGTCAAGTTGAAAGAATAGCTCAGGAAACTGTCTTATAGGAATATGTAAGTTTTCTATATGAAAACGAGACCTACATGGCAGTGAGATGAGATTCCCATACTTCTAGGGACTGAGGGCAAAAGTTGGCCTTTTTAAGAACTGGGAGTCACTCTCTGAAGCATAGACAATTGAGTGAGACCTCTGGTGTGTGGGAGAGCTGAAAGCATCTTCATCATGATTTCTGGATGTGTATTTCTGGATGAAACTGTGAGTAAAATTGGTGTATAGAAAGGAACATGTTAATTCATGTCTGACTTGTTGGGGGGGGGGGGCGGGCAAAATGCATTCTAGTGTGTTCTTTCTCATTTCCTTTCCCCTTCCCTGCTCCTCCCTCTCTCTGCCCTTCCTTTCTTCTCTTAGAAGAAATAACAAATCAAATCAAATATGTGAAGAATAACTTCGTGTATTGCAATATATTTTCAAATCTTAGGAATTAGATGAACGATATCACTACAGATTCTAATACTATGCACTAAGCCATGACAGTATTCAATAGCCACAGTGCTGATATAGATAATAAAGGACTGTGTGTGTGTGTGTGTGTGTGCGCCCATGCACATTTTGTACTGGGGATTGAACCAAGAGACACTGTACCACTGAGCTACATCCCCAGACCTTTTTATTTTTTATTTTGAGACAGGGTCTCACTAAGTTGCTGAGGCTGACCTCAAACTTGTGATTCAAGTCACTGGGATAAGAGGTATGCTCCACCATGCCAACCTTCAAGGAATATTATTTATAAACACTATGTCATATGGCATGGTGGCTCACACCTATGATCCCTCAAGAGGTTGAGGCCAGTTCAAGACCAACTTAGGCAATTTAGCAAGACCCATTCTCAAAATATAATAGACTGGACTGGGGATATAGCTCAGTGGCAGAGCACCCTTAGGTTCAATCTTCAGGATCTCAAATAAACAAAGTTCAAAAAACACATTGTGTTAAGAAATCTGACAAATGGGATAGTCACAAACTATCCAACCTCATTTATGAAGTGTGAAAGTAAAAATATTAACCTAAAATTTTTAGGATTGAGGAGTTTCTGAAATAAAATAGATTTATTGAGCCATTGTAAATGTTAGCCAAAAACAAAAACAAAAAAACTGCCTGGGTCCTAGAAGAAATTCCCATAATTACCAGCATCAGTGCAAGGCAGCAGTAGGAAAATGTCTGCCAGACCAGAAATAAGGGCATTTATTTTGTGATGCAAATTTGGGGAAGGAAGACTTAGGTTGTTTACATTAAACCTACATTGGCTATAGGTTAGAGCGTATGATAAACAACTTTTTGTTACTATGACCTAAGTACCTGACATAAACCATTTAAAGGTGGAAATATGTATTTTGGTATATGGTTTCAGAATGAAGTTTCAATCCATGTTGGCTAGCTCCATTGCTCTGGGCAGAAACATCATGGCAGAAGGCATGATGAAGAAAAGTGTTCAGCTCATAGCATGTAGGTAGCAGAGAAGAAAAAGAGAGAGAGAGAGAGAGAGAGAGAGAGAGAGAGAGAGAGAGAGAGAGAAAAGCACAGGACAAGATATAGTCCCAAGGGCACTAGCCCCTGGGACCCACTCACTTGTACTAAGTCCCACCTCCTACACTTTCCACCACCTCCTAAAAGTCCAAATTATAAATTCCTCAATGAATTAATCCACTTATGAGGTCAGAGCCCTCACGATCCATTCATTTCTCTGAACACTGTTGTTTTGGGGGACCAAGTCTTCAATACATGAGCCTTTGGAAGACAATCCAGATTTAAACCATAATAGTGGGTGAGACTGTGAAGTGGAGGTAGTGAAGCTTTGGGATAGGATCATCCATAAGAAAAAGCTGTTGCTTTTTTTTTAACCTAGTAAATTACACCTCTTCTAAACAGTTCATTCGTCAGAATTTGATGAAGAAAAATTTCTCAGTGGTTTAGTGGGGATTATAAAGATTTTCAAGCAAGATCTTCAGAGACCTTCTTGCTTTCTACATTGAGAGTGGGATCCTATAAGAACTGATGCAGGGCTGGGGGTGTGGCTCAAGCGGTAGCGCGCTCGCCTGGCATGCGTGCGGCCCGGGTTCGATCCTCAGCACCACATACAAACAAAGATGTTGTGTCCGCCAAAAACTGAAAAATAAATATTTAAAAAAAAAAAGAACTGATGCAGATGGTATAGGGTACCTAGATGATGCCTCTATCTAGGTATGACATTATGGGTAGGGCAGTTAAGGAGAAGGGGTAGCCTGGGAAGGGGGGGATTTTTGTGATTTTAAAGAAGCACCTATGTAACCCTGAGGTTCTCTGTGTTATGGGGCTGTTAAGGGTGAAGATCCATCTAAACACATTTCATTTATTGAATTTTTATTAGGACTGGTTAGATTTTTCTTCCTCTTTGAGGCTGCTGGGTCTTTCATAACACATCAGCTGCAGGGCTTACTGCCTCACTGCCTTCCCCCCACCCCACACCCATATTCAACCACCTCTGAACTCCCTGAGGCCACCTGCATAAAAACATGCTTCTCAGATAATGGAAAATTTATTCTAAATGCTTATTTTAGATTGAGAAAGACCCATTTTCTCATACCCACTTTGCTTTTTTGTCTGCTTTGATCTGTGGCTTTTGCACAACTGATTGCTCATGCTGTTCCTCCTTTTGACTTTAAGTGAGACTGCCTTTCCCCATTTCTTGTGGCTTATCTCATTTCTGAATAACCTATGGGGACCCTGGTGCATGTTATGGGTGGAGAATGGGGAAGAGTGTGGTCACTGTAAGAAGAGGAGTGGGCCTGCCATTGAGAAGGTCTCAGTCAAACAGGAAACATTTGTAGGCAGGAACAATGATTCTCATATAAGGCCACCTAGAGCCAAAGAGGGATGCTGTAGCCTCTGTATTGCCCTTATTCTGAAGTCTCCTCAAGTTTCTAAAGCTATCAGATGCCTCCTGTCTCTAATTTCCTCAGGATCAGTGGCTTGAGCTTTGGCTATGAGCCTGAGCCTTGGGCTTGCTTCTGGGGCTTCTGGAAGTTGATTTCTTTTTTCCTTTGCTCTTTCTCAGGAGACTCTTCCTTGCCTTACTCAGACTTCCAATGAGACTGAACAGTCTACGTTGTCCTGCAGAATCAGAGAACTGAGTTATGAATCTAGAGAAATTTGAGTACAAATTTGTTTTGGTTTTGGATGGTCAGAGCCTACTAAGAATTAATCTGATATCTGCCTTGGTGCCATTGCCAATAATTTCCCTTCTGTCTTGCTACTTCTAGTCACTAGAAACATGGAAGCTTGGAGCAGGTTGAAGCAGGGCACTTGAATTCATATAATTGATTTCCCCATGATTTTCTTCAAGCAATTTTCCACCTTCTGTTCCCAGATGTTTCACCAGTGATATTGACTTTTCCCAGAGTGCACATGAAGGCCAATTGATTATCAGATAATCACATGTTTTTGAAAGGTCTCTGTGCTCTTCAAAGGAATATTGAAGAATTGAGGGTGCTATCATTTCATCCACAATCTTAAGGATACAAATGGCACCAGAAATAACCTGGCCAAATCTGAATGATGAAAGCCAATTACAAACTTGACAACAGGTGCATAGAGATGAGACAGTTAGATTTACTTCCTTTTTTCTAATTTGAGAGGTTTCATGTTGAAGAAAATCAGTGTGTTTGGGTTGCAGAAGACCTAGATGCATTTACCATGAAGCTGAGCTGTGTTCCCATGGCCTGGGCCCTCTATATTCCCTCTGCTGTGTTCTGGGCAGCTCATTTGCTGGTGGGTAAGTAAAATGTTTGAATGTTGGTATGAGAATAGAGATAAGCCTGGCTTTGGGAAAAGACTCAGAGCAAAGAAACATGGACTAACTTTGGCCCTCCAAAGAATTGGTTAGGTAGGATAAGAAGCCTAGATATAAGAGAGTTTGATGCATACTGGGGGTATAACTCAGGGGGTAGAGCATTTGCCTAGCATGTGCCAGGCCATGGGTTCAATCCCCAGTATGAGAGAGAGAGAGAGAGAGAGAGAGAGAGAGAGAGAGAGAGAGAGAGTTTTGTGTGCAGGACTGAATGGCTCTTTCTGAATATAAAAATCTTGAGGCCTTTTCCATCTGACTACAATGTCGTCTTCTCTGGACACAATTTCAACTCTTACTTTTCTGATACAATTTTCTTTAAAGAGTGGTCTGTACTTGGCTATCTCTGCTTCCTCACTTCTCACGTTTCAATGATTGTAGTCTGGTTTCCACTAGAAAAGTTTTGCATAGGGCACAATTATCTCCATTCAGATAGAATAAATCATTGTACACTTTCCCATTCTTCTCCTGATGAACATCTCTGCTCACTGGGCACTGCTGATCACGTCCTCTTTTGGGGAAGGGGGTACCGGGGATTGACTCAGGGCACTCAATATCGGAGCTACATTCCCAGCCCTCTTTTGTATTTTATTTAGAGACAACGTCTCACTGAGTTGCCTAATGCCTTGCTTTTGCTGAGGCTGGCTTTGAACTCACCATCCTCTTGCCTCAGCCTCCCAAGCTGCTGGGATTATAGGCATCCGCCACCACATCCAGCGATCACTTACTCTTTCTTGCATGCCTTACATCCCTGACTTCCAATTCACCATTTTCTCTTTGTACTTCATGTACTTCTTTTGGACCCTTGGGAACTTCTCTTTTCTTCCCCTTATACCTAAATGTTCCCTATAGTTAATATCCTTGCCTCTCCATTCTTCTTTCTTTATGAAATCTCCTTTATGAGTTTATTGTCTGCATAACTTTTGCCATAATAACTGTATGTTTAAGAGTTCCAGATCAGATCTTCAACCCTAATCATGCTTTTGACCCTCACATTCAAATATCAGTCTTCACACAGGACATATTTATCTATGTGTCCAGGAAGTATCTGGAGATGAACACACCTGTCCTGGCTCCTACTTCTTCTCACTCATTCTTTCACTGTTTCTGACTTCAGCTAATGGCATCAACATCCACTTTGATCTCCAAGTTAGAAATCCAAGAGATAACCTGACTCTTCCTTCTCTGTCTTCTCTATATCTGATCAATCATCAAATTTGGCAGATTTTACCTCCTAAATTGTTCTTCCTTAAAACATTACTAATGGTATCCCAGGACAAGCCCTCATCATATGACTGGGACTACTACAATAATTTCCTAACTAATCTTGTATCAGTTTTGTGTCCCTCAATTCTGCACCTTGCAGCTGCAGTGACTTCTAAAATCTGTCAGCCTAAACTTCTTGTCATGGCACACAAACTCCACCCCAAACTGGCACCTGTTTAGACTCTTTAGCCTCTATAGTCATCCTCTAAGTGTCACAACTTACGCTTTGATAAATCCCTATTGGCTTATATTTATACATGCACACCCGGACTCTACTCTCTTCAAGGCTTTGCTTAGCAGATACTGCTACCTTTTCCACCATGCGGCCTGCGCAATGGTTTCATTAATGAGGTTCTTGGCATAAAAGTTAGCTAGAAGAGATCGAAATAAAACACACAGACTCAGTTACCTTATTTCTACTGCCAGGTCCGAGACGGCTCCCCTCTCTGGCTCCAACCTCTAACCGCCCAGCAGGGCAGCAAGGATTACTCAGGGCTAGCAGGAGAGAGAGAGAGTGAACACGCCTGGGAGTAGCCTTTTATTGGGGAACAAGAAATTCAGGGGAGAATTCCATCCAATGAAGGTTGAGGGGGGACTGCACTCCAAGGTCAGGGTCAGTGATTGGGCCCCCGGGGTCAGTGGTCAGTCACACCCCCACACGGACGGGTTCTCTCATCAGGAAAGGGCCAGGAAAGTTCCGACACAGCCAGAAGCCTCAGACCCTTAACGGGAGCCGCCCAGTCACGTGTCAGAATGGCTTCCCACAACCTTTGCCTGAAATGAGCTCTCTTGCTGGCCTCCTGGTCCTCTCTACCTTTACAAACTTCTAGATATCCCGAAGGGCAGCCTTGGTGGCATCTTCTCTGAGAAGCCTCCCTTGAACCCTCAGTTCTGTTCTGATGGCTGCCTGGAAAACCTCTTTCTTATTACTTTCTTCTTCATGCTGAAATAATCTCTTCATATACCTGTGTTTCCCACTAATCTGATAGCTGTTTGTAGTCAGGGACAATGTTCTTTTGTTTTATTTATTTGTTCTAGTCAGTTATACATGACAGCAAAATGCTCTTTGATTCATTGTGCACAAATAGAGCACAGTTTTTCACTTCTGTGGTTCTACATACAATAGGGTCACATCATTTGTGCAATCATACATGTACCTAGGGTAATGATGTCCGTCTCATTCTACCATCTTTCCTATCCCCATGCCCCCTCCCTTCTCCTTCCTCTTTTTTGGCTAATCCAAGTTCCTCCACTCATCCCCTGCTCCCCGCATATGGATTAGCATCCGCTTATCAGAGAAAACATTTGGCCTTTGGTTTTTTGGGACTGGTTTACTTCGCTTAACATGATATTCTCTGACTCCATCGTTTACTTGCAAATGCCATATTTTATTCTCTTTTATTGCTGAGTAATATTCTATTGTGTATATATACCACAGTTTCTTTATCTGACAATATTCTTTTTTTTTTCCTTGTGACAAGAATTGCAGACTTGGGATCAAGCCCTTCTTCTAGTTAGTAACTTTACATCACTTTGAAAAAGTCACTTTTTATATTTCTGAATTCATTTTTCTAATTTGTAAAGTGATAATACTTGCCACATAAGATTTATTGAGTGAAAATGCCTGGAAGCCTAACAAGATTTTTGTCTTTAAAATGGATAAAAGCAGAGGAGGCTGAGTCCAGTGGAGTGACAGAGGAGGAACTGAAAAGAGGTAGCAGAGTAGTAAAGGGGGCAGACGGAGGAGGTAAAGAAAGCACCTGGTACTGGGAAATAGAAAGAAGGCTTGATAAGGGGAGTTACAAAGTCAAAGAAGAGTCTGGGGTCATTGGGAGTGGAAAAGAACAAAGACAAATGGGACAGGAAAGGATGGAATGAAGAAGTGAGCATGTAGGAATGGCCCCATGGCAGGGAACAGGGAGAGAGACTAAGAAGGACAAGAAATAGTCTCAGAAATGGACGGAATGACATTTACCTTGCCTGGATCAATCCTGAAAGTAAGAGGTAGGTCAAGAAGATGTGGTGATAAATCTTTAACCCTAAAGACTAACAACCTGGAGACAAAGAATTGTTCCACAGTTACCAGTACAGTCTGGGAATGGGACATCAGGGTAGAGGGGAGGAGAGAGAAAGGGCTCTGCCATTGCTCAGGAAAGTTTAAGAGGCAGAGATCATTAAAGTAAAGATGAGTGAACAAATGAAGATCTGAAAGGGGGAGCCAGGAGGGAGGAGAGACCCAGCTAGGGACTGAAAGCTCTTTCATAGGTAGCATATCTAGGCTGAAGAATCAAGTGTATTTTGAGAAAGTGAGAATATGGATGAAAGTCCCCAAGGCAAGTCTGAGGACTGAATTAGACCATGTCTGCACAGTGAAGTAAAAAGAACACTAAGTTTGATCTCAAGCACACCTGACTTTCTTGCTTCATTCTTTATTTTCTTTTTAAACTCTGGGTGTATTAATTTGCTTTTCTAAAGCTTGTTTCTTGAAAAATTTATAAAATGGAGATGAAGCCACCTACCTGGAAAGCTTGTGAAGAGTAAATGAGATAATGCACAAAATTGCTAGCGGTGAGTGGCAAACAGCAAATACTCAGTGAGTGTCAGAATTTGATGTTTGCCTTTCTCTCTTGTCCTGTGCCTGTGTGCTCTGGGGTCATGGTCGTTTTTGGTTCCTCATTTCCTGCACCAACAGCTGGACACCAGGCAGCTGGATTCACCATCCTTTTACTCTTTGCTTTTCCACTTCCCAGTGCCATAGTCCATTCACTGAGGGCACGTGGATATCAGTGAACCAAGGTCAAAACCATTCCTCCCAGAGACAACCCCCGTCCCCACCAAGAGTTTCTTGGAAAAAAGATTTTGATGTCTTCCTATTCTTATTCTGAAAAAGATGGTTGCCCCAGGAGAGAGGAGGAACTCTTGTGGAGGGCAAATTCCTGTCCCCTTTTTCTAAGTTGCAGCATCATTTTCTGGTTCTCCTTGGGACATACCCTCTTCAGCTGCCAGTTTTGAGACTCTGCAGTGTGAAGGACCTGTCAGCACTGAGAAGAGTGACTGCCACATGGATGACGACTTGAAGGACCCAAGGGAAACTGACTATCAGGTCAAGGGCTACACTTTCAGCGAACCCTTCCATCTGATCGTGTCTTATGGTAAGGTCCCGGAAAGACCTAACTGGTGTCCCAAACTCCTTCTTTTAGCTCCACATCCCACTCATGAAAGTAACCACTCAGGAAACTGGCCATAGGTTGAGGACTCATCTTCAGCCCCCTGCAGCAGGAGATCTTCAGTTCTAGGCCCTAGAGAAATTGTCCCACACTAGGTCTAGAGATAGGTCAAGGTGATGTGGTGAGAAATCTGGAACTCAAAGTTTTAAACTGGAGGCAAAAAATTGTTCCACAGTCACCAGCACAGCCTGTGAGTAGGGGGTCTGGGGGAGAAAGGAGGACGGAGAAACGGGTTTCCCATTGCTAGGGCGAGTTGACAGAAGCCTTTCAGTAAGGTATTAAGGGGTGAGAATTTACATGAATGGACCCTTAAGGAAAGTTTAGGAAGCTTGTTGTGGGCATACCTGGGGGTATTCTCAAGTGAGACAGTGGGTGACACTCAGTTCTTCCTCTGGGCTAGACTGGCTGATCCTCCAAGGCCCAGCTACACCCATATTTGAAGGAGATCCACTGGTTCTGCGCTGCCGGGCCTGGCAAGACTGGCCACTGACTCAGATCACCTTCTACCGAGATGGTTCAGCCCTGGGTCCCCCTGGACCAAACAAGGAATTCTCCATCGCTGTGGTACAAGAGTCAGACAGTGGGAATTACCACTGCAGTGCCATCTTTAGAAGCCCTGGTCCAGGGAGCCCAGAAACAACATCTACGGTGGCTATCACAGTCCAAGGTAAGAGCTAGAGTCAGCATTGCTGTGGTAAAATCAAGTAAGAAGGGACAGGGAGCCCAAAATTGTTTTTCTTTGGTGTGGAGGTGGAAAGATCATTAAATCCTTGAGGAACAGATTGCTAGCAAATGCCCAACTGGAGTTTCAGGAGTGTCGATATCGCAGCATTGCCTTTTTAAATCATCAGCCCCACCCAGAATTCAGTGTTTCCTACCACCCAGATCTATGCTTTCTGTCAATTGTAGATTGGGTATCTGGACTGCTATCTTATTTGCCCATCTCTGGATCTTTACTGGTTCTGTCTAGTTGAGAGGAGAGAGAGAGAGAGAGATCAAATGGGGCTGAGTGAAGTGACACACACCTGTAATCCCAGCTACTCAAGAGGCTGAGGCAGGAGGATCACAAGTTTGAGGCCAGCGAGGGCAACTTAGCAAGACCCTGACTCAAAATAAAATTTTAAAAAGGGCTGGGGATATAGCTCAATGGTAGAGCACTTGCCTAGTTATAGGCTCTGGTTTCAATCACCAGTACTGTGAAAACAGAAGTTCAAGAGGAATCGTTCTTAACAAAAAAAAAAAAAAAAAAAATTTCTGGTGGAAAAGGAGGAAAGGACCTATGACCTGGCTGCTTTGCCCCTCATGGTCCTACTTGGATGTAGAACGGCTGAGCTCTTCTTTCTTGCCTACCTTTCCCTCAGAACTGTTTGCAGCCCCAGTTCTCAGAGCCTTGCCCTCCGCTGAACCCAAAGAAGGAAGCCCCCTGACTCTGAGCTGTCAGACAAAGCTGCCCCTGCAGAGGTCAGCCGCCCGCCTCCTCTTCTCCTTCTACAAGGATGGAAGAACAGTGCGCAGCAAGGGCCTCTCCTCAGAATTTCAGGTCCCCACAGCCTCAGCAGAGCACTCTGGGTCCTACTGGTGTGAGGCAGCCACTGAAGATGGACAAGTTTGGAAACAGAGTTCCCAGCTAGAAATCAGGGTGCAGGGTAAGTGTGTATGTGTCTTTTTGGTTTGTGTGTGACAACAGGGAGATGGGTATAGGATGACTGGATCCATGGGCTGGGGTTCAGCGTAGGAAGGTGAAGAAGGGACATAGAAAGCCGGGCACAGTGGCATATACCTATAATCCCAGAGGCTCAGGAGGCTGAGGCAGGATCATGGGTTCAAAGCCAACTTCAGCAAAGGCGAGGTACTAAGCAACTCAGTGAAACTGTCTCTAAATAAAAGTTTAAAAAAAAAAAAAGGGCTAGGGATGTGGTTCAGTGGTTGTATAACCCTGAGTTCAATCCCTGGTACCACCCCATAAAAAAAAAAGAAAGAAAGGAAGGAAGGAAGGAAGGAAGGAAGGAAGGAAGGGAGCCCAAATAGAGAACTTCTCCCTCACCATGGTGCCAACACTATCGAACCAAGACCTACGTGCACTGCCTCATAGAACTTAGGTTCCTTATATCATCTCTGGGCATTTACATGAATATAATCTCTAGAATGAGAGATAAAGTCCATGTTAAAATCTGGGAGCTACCATTCAGTACTTGATCTGAAATACATTCAGAGGAGTTGTCCAGTGTGATGAGGAAGCCTGAAGCCAAGTGAAATGAAAAATAATAAAGGAACTGGTGATGCCTATCCTAAAGAGGAGGTGACTTAGGGGACCAACATTGATGTCCTCAAAAAGCTAACAACTGGACCAAGAATGAGGAATTAGACTGATGTCTTATATAATAAAGAGGTTGCTTAGGACGGTATAATATATCCATGCTTCAGTGAATTAGATTCTGCCTTGAAAGAGGAAACATTGGTTAATAGTCCATCTAATGATGAGGTCTTGTTGCTAGGATGTTCAAGAAAAGACAGCCAATCTTCAGATTAAAATTTGGATTAGGAGAGACACTAGAGTCTTCAAGTCCCTATTGCCACTGGACCCTACAGCCATTTCAGAGAATGAAAAAGACTGACTGTTTTGACAATAGGTCCAGATTTAATTCTTGTATGTGCCTTTTGCCATATAATCCAGGTCCCTCCAGCTCTGTTGAATCGCCCACTTTGAATCCAGCTCCTCAGAAACCGGCTGCTCCAGAAATGACTTCTACGGTGCCCCCTGGTCCTCTGCCTCCACTAGCTACCCCTTTTTCTGAGCACGGAGGCTTCTCCTCTCCAGATCCCCACCTGCATCACCAGATGAGTGTTCTTCTCAAACTCATGCAGGATGTAAGAGCTCTTCTTGGTCACCTGGTCATAGAGCTGAGGGACTTATCTGGCCACCTGAAGCCTGACACCACAAAGACTCCTGTCAAATGAAAGTACACTATTCACCCATGATCACCCACCCCCAATAAATCCAATGTTTTCTACTTTTGTCTTTCTATTCTGCACACATGCATAAATAGTTTTACAAGTTGTCCTCAGTGTCTTATAAGAACAATGGAATTAGGGGGCATATAAATAAATTTGTATGAAGCAATAATTGAAGTTTAGCTATAATTGTTTATTCTTTACACAACATCATTATGTTCTCTCTGAATCAGGAATTTCTTTCTGTTTCCCAGGCCAGAACCTGGTGACTTCAAGAGAAAAAAAAATGGAGGTGAATTTCATATAGCAATATCAAGTGGGGGCAATTTTGTTCCCTGGACATTTTTGTCCTCACACAAGGCAAAAGGGATGTGTATGCCACTGGCATCTAGTCAGGAGAAACCAAGGATGCTGCTAACCATCCTATAATGCATAGGACATCCTCTTCCTCCTAACAAAAGATTATCTATCCCAAAATGCCAACAGTGCCAAAGTTGAGAAACCCCAGCCTAATGATAGTCAGGTATTAGACCCTGGAGTGAGACTTTCCCTCTACTAATTACCCTCCTCTTCCAACCTCCTAAACAAATATTAATTACATGCTACTATTTAGTCAGTGCTATGGTCTGAATGCTTATTTCTCCAAAAATTTATTTGTAGAAACCCTATCCCTAAGGTGATAGTATTGATAGAAGGGACCTTTGGGACTAGATCAGGTAATGAGGGCAGAACCCTAGAAATTGGAATTAGGGCCTTTATAAAGAAGACCCTACAGAACTAGCCTGCCCTTTTGCCATGTGAGGACACATCAAAAAGATGTTCTTGGGGCTGGGGATGTGGCTCAAGTGGTAGCGCGCTTGCCTGGCATGCGTGCGGCCCGGGTTCGATCCTCAGCACCACATACAAACAAAGATGTTGTGTCCGCCGAAAACTAAAAAATAAATATTAAAAATTCTAAAAAAAAAAAAAAAAAAAAAAAAAAAAGATGTTCTTTAGGAATCAGAAAGTGAGCCCTCTGGGCTGGAGTTGTGGCTCAGTGGTAGAGTGCTTGCCTGGCATGTGTGAAGCCCTGGGCTGGATCCTCAGTGCCACATATAAATAAATGAAACAAAGATCCATTGGCAACTAAATATATATACATACATATATATATATGTATATGTATATATATATATATATATATATATATATATATATATAACACAGTCATTGTAATTCCAGTGACTTGGAAGTTTGAGGCAGGAGGATCACAAGTTCAAAGCCAGACTCAGCAACTTAGCAAAGTACTTAGCAGCTCAGAGAGACCCTGTCTCTAAATAAAATACAAAAATGCCGCAGTCTGTCTGGCTGCAGCAAAATAACCAGGGGGTGACGAACAACTTGTGAACGTTGATACAGCAGGAGTAGGAGCCGTTTATTGCAGGACAGGAGCAGTATTTATACATTCCACAGAGCTTATCTAATTAGCATAAACTAGATACATCAGTCAACCAATAAGGAATCTCCACACTTAATGGCTTGTTTTTGTTACTTCTCAAACCACTCCCTCAGGCGTTTTGCCAGGCACCATCCAGACTTGTTTACGAACTCTAACATTCCCCTGGCAAAATGCCAGGTGTTATTTTTGACTTGTTTACAGACTCTAACATTTCCCCCTTTTGTTTAATTTAAATAACGACCATAGTGGTTTTTACAGAAACACCATAAATAACCTGCTACAAACAGAAAGGGAGGATACAAAATGCCACAATACCAAGCCACTTGATGGCTCCATGCAAGAAGCCCTTGGAAAAATTATACCAGCAATGACACTGTTAGCAAAGATACCGAGTTACAATTTGTTATAGATTACAGTTTGTTGTCTCAGTCCAGGTAAAGCAGTGTCTCAATAGATTAACTCACAGTCCAGGTAAATCACAGTCCAGGTAAGTTCTGCAGGCAGCTAGCTTAAATCACAGTCCAGGTAAGTTCTGCAGGCAGCTAGCTTAAATCACAGTCCAGGTAAGTTCTGCAGGCAGCTAGCTTAATCCGAAGTCTCGTCCGGTTCTCAGCTGAAATCTCAGTCCGGTTCTCAGCAACACGGGAAATTTTTCCATCCTCGTCCTCACCGGCACTGGGACGAAGGCAGGAACTCTTGCAAAGATGCTAAAGAAAATCCTGTAGCATTCCACTAAGAAAACAACCTTCTGAACAATTTAGTACATTATCTCAAGGTTTTTTTACATTTGAAATAAGCCTTAATGGTGCTCATTACTCATCAGCTTCCAGGTGTGGGAGAACCATTGTAGCTTAGTTATTGGCATTGAAAATGACCAAACATCAGGGACACCAGTAGTGTCTTCTGCGGCTGTAGCGTCCCGGGTAGCCCCAGATGGCCCTGGGGAGAGTCCCGGACTCAAACTGCTACTGGGCACAGGGAGCAAGAGCCTGCGAGACTGTGCCTCCAAGTCAGGTCTAGATTTGGGCTCTCAGCAGTGGAAGAGCCGGCTGCCGCCGTTTGGAAAGCCCTTGCTGCTCCATGACCAGCTCGCGCATGTGGCAGCCGCAGCGCCGATTCATGCAGCGCCGATTCATGCACCCTCCGGTAACGAAAAGTATTCAGTAATAGCCTTTTGCTGCAACTTTTTTCCTGATAATCCTTTTTCCTCTGATAATCTTTCTTCTTCTGAACTTTCTGTTTCTTTCTGACTAGAGTTCCTGGGCTTCTATCAACACATGCCCTAACTATTCTTGGTTCCACTGGGGTGCCTTCTTCCCTTAGTAATTTACTTCTCACCCCTTCCATATTTTCATCACAAAGACAATACAATACACTGAGACAAAACAAGACACAAACATACTGTATCAATCTTCTCCATTTTCTCGAAATGGCCATTTTTCCTCTCGCCCTATCTGCCTAGGGACGAGCAGATTGCTCCCGTCCTATCTATGGACGGGCAGCTTTTTTCGTCACTTACCCCCAAGTGTCCCGGGGCTCCCCGTAACGGGCCACCATCTGCCGCTGTCCAGCTGCAGCAGAATAACCGGGGGGTGACGAATAACTTGTGTACTTGATACAGCAGGAGTAGGAGCCGTTTATTGCAGGACAGGAGCAGTATTTATACATTCCACAGAGCTTATCTAATTAGCATAAACTAGATACATCAGTCAACCAATAAGGAATCTCCACACTTAATGGCTTGTTTTTGTTACTTCTCAAACCACTCCCTCAGGCGTTTTGCCAGGCACCATCCAGACTTGTTTACGAACTCTAACATTCCCCTGGCAAAATGCCAGGTGTTATTTTTGACTTGTTTACAGACTCTAACACAAAAAAGGGGCTAGGGAAGTGGCACAGTGGTTAAGTGCCCCTGGGTTCAATTCCTGGTACCAGGAAAAAAAAAAAACAAACAAACAAAAAAAGGAAATTCGACTGCCAATATACTGTGCTGGGTATATTTCCAAAAATATACTATGTCATGGTCATTCTACAAGGAGTTGTTTTCAGTTAATGATCCCATTTTTATGAAAGCATTCTGTAAGCTCATGTTAAACAGAGAATTCACTTACAGATAATAAAAACTATCAGTTCAGTGGGGCAGGGGAGGAATGCATGCAGCTGGCTGAGATGTTTCACTTCTGTGTTCCTCATCCAACTGTGCATGTTAACTTAACAACCAGTGGAAGACATTTAGGGAAACACGTGAGGGAAGGTGCATGCAGAGTTTCTTCACCCTCTCTGGGTGCACCACACTCCCAGCATCTCTTTGTCTTCACTGGTGATTAGATCAATCTCCAGTTCCTCTCTTTTCCTGGAGGTCAGGGGGTAGGGCTGAAAATTCTAAGCCTCTATTAAGAGGGTTGGTTTCTTTGGCAGCCACCCCCATCTTCCCAGGAGTTGCCTCATATGCGTAAATTCCACAACAGTTTTTTCTTATAAATAAGAAAAGATGTTCCTCTCACCTGTAACACTTAGGACTTTCTCGGGGTTTTAGTAATTGTCAGGACCCAGGTACAGAGGTCAAACATATTTCAGACTGTGTCACATACATTTGATGTCCAGTAAAGTTGAATATTTGCATAGCCTATCACCCGGCATTCCATGCCTAGGTGTATATCCCCAAGAGAAATTTTAGCATATATGTATCAGAAGTCAGTTATAATGTTCGAAGTAGTACTATTTGGAAAAGCAAAATTTGGGAGTCAACTCAGATGTCCACCAATAGTAAAATGAACGAGTTGTGCTATTTTCACAGAATGGAATGCTATATAGCAGTAAAAACAAATAAACCATACCTATAATGCAGCAACATAAAAGAATCTCAAGAATATAAACACCAGGGGCTGGGGATGTGGCTCAAGCGGTAATGCGCTAGCCCGGCACACGCAGGGCGCTGGGTTCGATCCTCAGCACCACATAAAATAAAATAAAGAAGTTGTGTCTGCCGAAAACTGAAAAATAAATATTAAAAAAAATTCTCTCTCTCTCTCTTCTCAATCTTTAAAAAAAAAGGATATAAACACCAGGTGATAAAAACAAACATGCAGTAGAAGATCCTTTATACAATATTTAAAAACAGGTAAAACAAAGGAACATATTGTTTAAGCATTCACATACATACATATGATAAAACTTTTAAAAAACAAAAAGTCACACAAGAAATTAAAACACCAAAGTCAGAATAGTAGTTATCTCTGAGGAGTGGATTCAGGAGATAATGAGGAAGAGCACATAGGCAGATATAGGTTATTAATTTTTTTCCTCTTCTCTGATAGGCATTGAGGGCTCCTTAAAAAGAGAAATATATATATATATATATATATATATATATATATATATATATATGATATATTTATGTATAAGTATATGTTTACATACAAATATATAAGCAAAAATATATATAAAAAAACATCTGTTATATATAAATAATATATGTGAATATACAAATATACATTTAAATATAAATATAAACATAAATATTAAATATATTTGAATATAAATATATGTCAAAATTTTATATATGTGGATATATATGCATACATATATATTATATATTATTCAATTCACTTTATGTTTCTACCTTGGCTTTCTCTTAGAGGGAATAAAAAGCCAAGTTTATTACTTACAATGTGGAGTAGTTCTTTCCTTCATTTCCTTCTTTCAGAAAGCTCCCTCTGCCCCATCCAGCAGCC